TCTTGCCACTTCACTTTGCATATGATAAGAGTATAATCACATGCATAACATTCCTTCTCCATTTCAAGGATTCCCATCAGCTGATAATGAGTTAACCAGAGTATGCTTTCCATATCGGCCAGGTTAGGGTGTTTTCCTTGGATACCTATTGAAAGGGAGTGGACTGATGAAATAGAGATCAGAGACTTTTGCATATCCTTCTCCAATTTGTTCTCATTTCCTAAAATAACTGACCTTTCTGAAGGACACAGTTGAGCTTATGTTACAGATGTAAACCATATTTGGTGAAATGGCTGGTGATTTAGTCCCTTCTAGAGTACTTTGAAGTGCAAACAGTGTGATAAGATACCATATTTCAAGAAGACTTCCATAGGAAAAGCATAAAAATCTCTCCAAGGGCAGCTCAAAAATAAGACCATTAAATCTGAAGTATTGCATCTAGGTCATGGGGAATAAGGTCAGAGATGCAAGGCTTTTGTATCGTACAATGAATGTGAATGATAGCTGAGTCACTGAAGACAGTAGTAGTAAAAAGCATGTTATCAGAACTTGTTTGTTACACAAACTAGCTGACACATCTCAGGGGTCAGCATGGGTATTTCAAGCATGAAAATTTGCTGAATGGACAGTATATTGATGACAAACTACAAGATCGCAAATGATACTTAATGATGCTTGAATCAAGTCTGCTCTCTTTATATGTGTGTTCTCCACTTGGAAGATCTATGGAGAAACATATTCATATCATGGTCAGACAAGAGAAAAAGAAAATAACATAGTAGAAAAAAATAAAATGAGTCCTCTTTCTGTCATTATAAGGTATAAAATACAATGAGATCCATGTATTTTTCCCTGAAGGATGGGGATCTTCCTCCAAAGAAGCATGGGGGCAGATGAAGAGATGGAAAGAGTAGAGAAGCAGATCATGTTCTTGTTAGTTTAATGATTTATGTCTGGATTTGTTTGCCTTTGGTGTGATTAATTACTTCCAAATATCTGCTGCCACAAAGTCTGCTTTGTACAGAAAAGATGCATCCCTGTAGGTGGGATCTCTAAATCTGTGGATGAATCAATCCTGAAAATGTCCCAGTGATCCTATGTCTGACACATTTTTGCTTCTATAAAACAGAAATTAAATAATGGCAAGCAATCTAGGCAAGAGAGATACAAAAGGAGTACAGACAGATTTTTATCCCAGAATCTTCTGAGCAGCTCCTTATTCTTACACACCATTCCACACTCTTTACTGCAGTCATTGTATGTACAAAAGTACAATTGGGCTTGAACCAGACCTCAAACAACCTGTGCTGTCCTCCTTACTGCATGTGGGAGGACCTGTTGTAGCTGAACTCTGAAATCAAAATGGGGAAGCCAGGTGAGAATCATGCCATCCTTCCATGAGAGGTGTGGATGGCATTTCCACTCGCACAGTGAATCAGATCAGTGTCATGCTGGGTTTTATTCTCAGGCAGACAGGAAGGAATTATTGGTGATATTCCAAAGTGTTTTATTTTTAATCAGAAATCTGTGGCCCTGTAGATATCAAGAGATGGGTTTGCAGAACTACTACTTTATTTCTCATACAATGCAGAGAAAAAGGCTGATAGAGCTGAGCTGATTTCTGCAATTTTCTGTGACGGACTGTTTTAGGAGATATGCTGAGGACTGAGCCCTTTTCCAAGTCACTTTTTCTTTATTTCTTCTAGAATTTTCTCAATATTTCATTGTTGCTTCTGGCTTTTCCGCTGTCCTACATTTATTCTTGCTTTTGCCCTTCTGCTAGGGATGTAGCAACGCTTTCCCAGATGCCTTGTTTGCTTCAACAACCTTCTCTCAATGTCCTGTTCATTCAGTTGTATTTTATTAATATAATATTAACCATAGAAATTCACCATGAATTGGGGATTTTTCATTGACTTCATATCAGGGAGATACATCAGTAATATACAGGACTGTATGGAAGGTCTATTAAGGAGGCAAGAAATTCTGTTTCACTTTCAGATGCTTTATAGGTCAACTCCTGACTGTGATAAAAAGTTACTTGAATGTAAGTCAGGGAAAAATTTAGCCTGAAGTATAACCTTCCTTTCAGAACCAACAATTTACTGTCTAGTTTGTGGATGGCATGAAATTAAGTAGAACCACCATCCCAAACTGTAATAAAATCTATTGACATCCAAACTATGTATTATGCATATGTAGTCTATTATCCTGAGGCAAAAATGCACAGAGGTTTGACAGCAACCTAATGAAGGAATGCAAAAGAAGTAGGATTTAAGTAAAAATCTGCAAAAGGACAGAAAAGGTACCTAATAGCCAAAGGGTTTGTTCTCCTTAAAATCTATTTCAAGAAAATGTGCGTCTTGAAGCAGGAATAGGAGTTATGAGCACAATGAAGAAGGTTAAGGGAAATGAATATGAGTGACTGGGAAGGTTGAAAAGGTGAAGATTTTTGTTGGGAAATGGGTGTCAGGGATACAGGAGATTGGGCAACCAGAGCACAAAATGAGTTTGTGTGATGACACTCCACAGTGGGGGGCAGAAAAAAGTCACAATCTTCCAAAGTGGGGCTGGGGATGAAACTCCTGAAAAAGATCTGTGTTCCTGATGGTATCTCCTTGGAGACATTCAGGGGCAGGCTGAATCAGGCACTGAGCAAGTGGATCTAGCAGTGGAGACCCTACTCATTGCAGGGGAGATGGACTAGATGGTGTTTAAGGGTCCCTTCCAACTCAAATGATTCTATGATTCTACGAATGGGACAAGTTTAAATGAAGTCTGACTGGTAACTGCAGCAGCTCTGAACAACATAAACCAGTGCAGCAGTTTCTTCTGTGCCAAATGCACATTGCTGCATCCTGGCTGGACACCAAGTTGATGTAAAGGGTTAAAAGAGTGCAAACTTTAGCAGACTAGGCAATGAGAGACTAACCAGTTGCCACAGAAATAGGGGCAGCAACAGATATCCAGACCTGATAGATTTTTGGAAAAATATATTTGCAATCTTTTTCCAAAGTGATGCTTGAATTTTAAGAAGAATTTTATTTGGAAAGAGTCTTAGCAACAGCATAAGTGAAGAAGTATTGAGGTCCCATCTTCAAGAAACAAGGCTAACTGTCTCAAGGAATGTCTTTTTCTGCTTTTCTTTAACATAACTCTTGCTAATCACTTTTCTGCAATCTAACTTATGTATTTAAAAGTTAGTAGCCATCAACATTATCATCATTAATCTAAAATGTGTCAACACGCTGAATCCTACTGGGATTTTACAATTTATTTTTAATGTGAATTGTCTTTGAGAATTAAGTGTACCATGATGTTCATAAAAACCATATTCTTGCTTTCACTGGAGAAATAGAGCTAAATAATAAATTAAAGCCTTTCTGCAAAAACATTAATTCTTTGCATACATTTGCTTTTAAAGCTCCCTTGTTTGTGAGCAGTGATAAAAAAATATTCTGCATAACTTTTTTTTTGTAGTAATATGAGAAAAGTATAATAGGAAAGTAAAATTAAATTGTATTTCATTACTGATGACAACCTGAATAAAACATGGAAAGAGCATTCTCAGGCTTCAAGAACTTCTGGCATATCAACAACAAACAGAACAAACAGAACAAATCTATATCCACTTAAAAGCTCCCACACATTAAAGTACCCCAAGATAATCCTCTCTCTTTCTCGAGCTGCAAACTAGATGAACTGGCAGTGAACAAAAGGAGAGCACTTCCTCTTGCATTTTTCATAAGAGCTGTGTTTCAAAAGAAGCATATCACATAGACTTCATTACTTCATTTTATACCAAGACACACCCCAGTGCTGCCCTTAGAAACCTAAGAGAACCCTCTGGCAAAAAGGCTCCCTGGGAATCCAATTTCAATCATGTACTGACTTCATCAAAACTGATTTAGATCAGCAGTAAACAACACATGAGGACATGAGGTTCTTACTGATATACCTTCTTTTTTGTGTTCTGAGTGCAAGCTCATAATGCAATGCAGAGTAGTGTTAAAAGTTATACAGTCTGTCTTGTACCACTTGTATCCTTCCCTTCCCTTCCCTTCCCTTCCCTTCCCTTCCCTTCCCTTCCCTTCCCTTCCCTTCCCTTCCCTTCCCTTCCCTTCCCTTCCCTTCCCTTCCCTTCCCTTCCCCTCCCTTCCCCTCCCTTCCCCTCCCTTCCCCTCCCTTCCCTTCCCTTCCCTTCCCTTCCCTTCCCTTCCCTTCCCTTCCCTTCCCTTCCCTTCCCTTCCCTTCCCTTCCCTTCCCTTCCCTTCCCTTCCCTTCCCTTCCCTTCCCTTCCCTTCCCTTCCCTTCCCTTCCCTTCCCTTCCCTTCCCTTCCCTTCCCTTCCCTTCCCTTCCCTTCCCTTCCCTTCCCTTCCCTTCCCTTCCCTTCCCTTCCCCTCCCTTCCCCTCCCTTCCCTCCCTTCCCTTCCCTTCCCTTCCCTTCCCTTCCCTTCCCTTCCCTTCCCTTCCCTTCCCTTCCCTTCCCTTCCCTTCCCTTCCCTTCCCTTCCCTTCCCTTCCCTTCCCTTCCCTTCCCTTCCCTTCCCTTCCCTTCCCTTCCCTTCCCTTCCCTTCCCCTCCCTTCCCTTCCCTTCCCTTCCCTTCCCTTCCCCTCCCTTCCCCTCCCTTCCCCTCCCCTCCCTTCCCTTCCCTTCCCTTCCCTTCCCTTCCCTTCCCTTCCCTTCCCTTCCCTTCCCTTCCCTTCCCTTCCCTTCCCTTCCCTTCCCTTCCCTTCCCTTCCCTTCCCTTCCCTTCCCTTCCCTTCCCTTCCCTTCCCTTCCCTTCCCTTCCCTTCCCTTCCCTTCCCTTCCCTTCCCTTCCCTTCCCTTCCCTTCCCCGCCTCTCCTTGCCTCTCTGCTCCTTTCCAATGGCCACAAACTAGAACACAACAGGTTCCAGCTGAACATCAGGAATCACTACTATGTGGGTGACAATCATTGACATAGATTGCCCAGAGAGATTGTGGAGTCTCCTCCTTGGAGATCTTCAAAAACCACCTGGACATGGCCCTGGGCAACCTTCTCTGGGCAACTCCGTTGAGCAGGAGTTGAATCAGTTGGATCCAGAAGTCCCTCCCATCCTCAGTCATTCTGTCATCCTGTGATTCTGTGGGAACAGTGATATCTCTGCTGTTTTCCATAACTTTTCCAGGCAGTGTACTGAGATTGAAAAATGCACTAAGCAGACATCCTGCTTTGTTTCTTTAAGCTCTACCTATTGTTCAGGGTCACCCAGGTACACATTGTGCTGTGATAAATAATGGATGGCCAGTTGAGAGACATGAAATGAACAAGAATCACAGAGAAAATTTGTAACCTGCAATGTCCTTGCCAAAGTGTCTTTTAGGACAAAAATAAAGCAGCTCCAGCAGAGGTCAGTTAAGGAAAACTTTTGTTTTGTCAGAAGATTTGCTTCTGTATAGGCTGTGTCTAGAAAGAAAAATACTGCTTTGTTTTTAGGATGCTTTGTGTGTGTGTATGTAAGTCTTTAGGATTTTCAGATAAATGTATTTCCTTAAAAAATAATGAGACATATCCTCAAAATATTAGCCACTATTTTTTGCAAGTAATTTAAGAAATTTCTAGAACTGTAAAAGTGAACTTAAAGGATTACTACTCCATTTCATTTTTCCCAATCTCAGTTCCTAATGAGTTTGTATGAAAGTTAGATATGTTGCAGTTTAGCTTAAGAAGTAAAGGAAGGTTGTTTCAGACTAACAGGTTGTTCCCTTCCACCCTTCTTTGGAAAATTACTATGAGGTAACTCTTCCATAAAGTGCCTCTCAATTCCAATCCACATATTAAGACCTTGTAGGGTCTCACTGCTGTGCAATGCTGGGTGGTTTTTTGTTGTTGTTGTTTTGTTTTGTTTTTTGTTGTTTCTTATCATATCAGAAGATCTTCAATGACGCAGCACAAGAATGTTTTTTTTTTTTTAAATTAGAATTAAGTATTTATGTGGAGTGCATAAAATAGTGCATGACCAACCTTACAACTGAAGCTGGTCAGACGTTAAACTGTCAGCCTTTAAACTGCAAAACTGTGAAGTCTCATCTGCATCTTCCATTCCAACCGAGGATCTGAAATCAGGAAACCTCTTCAAAGCAGAATATGTGACTCACTCTCATCTGCCCTCACTGCTAAATTGTTCTCTTTCCCTGGCTGATTTTTTCTGGTTTTGTTTTTCTGTGTTTTGTTTTGTTACTGGCCTAGAATGAATTTTCTTTATGGCAAGGCCTTTTTTTTTTTTTTTTCCATTTTTATTTACAAAACTTAGCACAGTGGTAGCCTTTAAAAGGAGTAAATGATTTATGAACATCAAAGAAAAATAGGAGAAAAGATCAAAATGACCTGAATTAAGAAATTTGGAAAGTATGAATAGGAAAACAGAACAAAACAGGAAACACAAATTACGAAGCTATAATGTATCTATTCAGTACTACATGAAAGAAGAGTAACCTGGAAAATATAACTCTAAGAAAGGTGACCAAAAAAAATGTAGAAGAGCTAGCAATGAGGTATGGCAGAAAAAAACAAGCCAGTACTTAGATAAATATCCTTTGCCATCCATACTGATACGTGTGGGAGTGTGAAAAAAGACTATAATCTAAAGAGTTACCCAAAAGCGTATTAAAAACTTGGAGAAATAAATGAACAATAAGAAAAATGAATAAACTAAGAATTTTGAATCTTGGCTAAATATGCATTATAGAGGAAATAAACAAGAAGATGAGAATGATTTTAAATATCACTTTAAAGCATAAGTAATCAGATGAAATTAAGCTCAGGGTAGTATAAGATGAGGATAATTTAAACAAATCTTGATGAATGTTTCGAAGAACCACCTCCCCAGAGGAGTGGTAAAACTATTTGAAAATTCAGAGAACGTAAATAAAAATACCACAGGGAACTCTGTACTGTTGGAAAGATATATGCATTTATTCATCCATACCATCAATTTATTAGGGTACTTTGGCTGGAGAAACAAGAGGAAAAGCTTTTCTTTCCTCATGCTGAAAAAGAAGGTAGCACTGTAGTCAGCATTTGTCCACAACTGGCAAATTAGCACTTGAGACATGTAGCCCAAAAAGGGGACAGAAATGATGGATCTACGGTGGGATTGATTTTTGAACCGATGTGTGCTTGAGAACCTGATAGGAATAATATAAGCAGATTGGTGCTCATGAGGAGTGACAAGAGAAGGATCAGTAAATAACAAATTGAGCTCCCAGGATCAAACAATAAAGCTGTTAAATGGTCTGGCAGGCTTTCCCAGGGCAATACATCACAATGAGAGTTTAGGAAGAATTTTGGGGATTGACAATTTTGTATTTTGCTTCTTTTTTCCTTTTACTTGAAAATGTAACTATGAGAAATCTCTGTGTACATTTAAAAACATAAATTTAGCATCTTCTCTAACCAGAAAAGCATAAAGAATGGAAAGACAGAGTGACTGTCAAGTACCTGTTCCCATACCACTGTTTCCAATCTGGCTGCATTTACAATGTTGTAAACAGAAAGAATATTGAATGCTGCCCACAAAGCCTCATGGCATTCTGATCCTCGCCTTCCATCATCTATACCTCCACACAGTTTCTCTCGAGAGGCTATCAAGATATCGTCACTGACTTCATCTGTTTTGTGATAAAACCTGTATGAAGAAATTACTTCAACACTGAGACAGCTAGCTCTGATTTTTGATGTTTTATTGCTCTGTGATCTGGACCCCTTCCAGGGATGCTCCTGTTCTCCATATTTGCACTCTGTGAATTTGCTTAATGACCTAACTTCTGCCAGTGCTGGTTTGTAGAGGAGCAAAGGCAACGTCTGTTGTTGCTGTAATATATTGGAGCAGAGTTGTGGCTTGGAAGATATCTTTGGTCAGTGAGAGATTGTGTGCTGCCTTCTATTTGGGACTTCTATGAGGCTGTAGAATTTAAGAGTACTAGCAGCAGTAATTCATACTACAGGGACAGACAAACTTCATTTGGAACAACTGTTTGAATTTCAGTATAAACTATCCTCTAGGTCCCTAAGAAGCAAGGACATCACATCCTAATATTTGAGCACCACTATGGTCAGAAGTCCATTTTAATGCTGAGCTGAGTCTGTCTAAGTTTCTCCACATGGCTGCACACACTTGATGAATGAGGCAGGGATGACAAATGAATCAATATCATATCCCCATTCTAAAAGTGTTTATTAGAGTATTAAAAAGATAATCAGAATTCTCATTTCCCTTTCTTTCCCGAGTCTAACCACTGCTAGTCACAGTCTCAGCCTTCACATATTGCTGTATCTTCCCATCTATCTGAGAAATGTACTGATTTAAATTGGGATAGAAGTCTATCTTATTAGGTCTATTGGCTGTATTATATATATAGTACAATCTTTTATGGAAGGTCATTCTTACAACAAAGATTTTTTACTCTGTAGAAGCTTTTGACAATGTCTTAATGACTATCCACTGAGGGATGGACTAGATAAAACTGATACCTCCATGGAACAGAGGTATGAAATAGATGAGCTGTTGAGCTTTCCTCCTGTTTTGCTTTCTATTATGAAGTGAACAAACTAGACCTGAAAACCAGACAATTCAGTTACAGTACAGAAAAGCAAACTAACAAGAGTTTAACAGATAAATGGAATTTGGGTACTGGGAGACAATATTTGAGAAAAAGCAAGATAAAAAGATATTAGGACATAAGAAATCTGAACAACAAGTAGCATACACTGCTGGGAGCTTTAAGACTTATTAGGAAAAATTTCATCTCTGAAAGAATGGAATCAGCTGCCCAGAGACTTAGTGGAGTCCTGGAGGTGTTCATGAAATGTGGAGATGTGACACTCAGGGACACGTTACAGTGGGCATGGTGGGAATGGATTGATGGTTGGATTTGATGATCTTAGTGGTCTTTTCCAACCCTAATGATTCTATGATTCTATTCACTGGAATGCAGTTGTGCCCATAGTAAGCTTCATTCACTTTTTTCTTTAAGATCCTTCCTTATGAGGCTCTTAAAGGCTATTAGAAACTAAATTATCACCTGAGATTTTGGTAAAAAGATGGTGGTAAATTTGGTGAGCCTCACAGTGTTAAAGATAGGATCACTCATTGATGATAAGATAAGGAAAATGTTACTCCTTTCTATGAAATGCTTAATGACCCAAGAGAAATGTGATTATCTGAATCCATTTCCAAGAGTAGAAAAATCCTGAAAGTCTGTTTGCTACTGAATAAATTACTGGGAGTTAAGATAAATTTTAACTACTTTGCATAGTATCATAGAATCATTTGAATTGGAAAGGACCTTTAGAAGTCATCTAGTCCAACTCCCCTGCAATGAACAGGGACACCTACAGCTAGATCAGGTTGCTCAGGGCACCATCCAGCCTGACCATGAATGTCTCCAGGGATAAGGCATCCACCACATCTCTGGGCAACCTGTTCCAGTGCCTCACAACTCTTATTGTAAAGAATATCTTCCCTATATCCAATATAAATCTCCACTCCTTTAGTTTTAAACCATTTCCCCCTTGCCCTGTCATAGCAAACCCTGCTAAGAACTTTATCCTTTTCTTTCTTAAAGCCCCCTTTTAGATACTGAAGGGCCCCTATCAAGTCGCCTTGGAGCCTTCCCTTCTCCAGGCTGAACTGCCCAGCTCTCTCAACCTGTCCTCATGGATCATCCTTGCTTGGTCAGTGTTAAGACTTATGAGGCATGTGTGAAAAAGTTCCTATTGCTCCTGCTTGCTGCACCTGATTTTTTAAGAGGGAACTTCAGTCTTGAGGGCTGTCAGTTTGGCACCGATAATGAGCATGATATTCATTTCAAAAGAAAATCTACCAAAAAAAAAAAATGACAGGTTAAACTTTGCATCTTTACTAGCAGAACTGGTGAACTCCCAAGATAGCATTCCCAGCCCACACACCCTTCACACTACCATGTTCTGTTGCTTCATTTCCTTTTTTCCCCAAGTTTCCTCATTACATTTACTTGGCAGAAATTCCTCTGTGGATGCTAGCAATAGACTTGCCTTGATACTGTTCATCACAATCTCCTGTGACAGCTTAATATCTCATTATCAATATTAATAATAAATGTG